GCATGACTGTGGAGCTACACCGCTACAAGTTTCAAATTCTAATACACAGATAAGAGTTCCATTTATTAAACTGCTCACAGCTCTATCCATACCTACTAGACGCAAAACCTCTGCCAACATGTATCTAATGAATGAAAGGTCAACAGTCAAAACCTAAAAGCAATACAGAGGAGGTCACCACTGAATCAGCTAAGCCAAAGTTTCTGCTTTAACTCATCAGTTGATGGAAGAAGTAAATGTTGTCTCTACCAAAGTAAATTATAATAATTTAGAGCCTATTATTATTACAGGGGGGTAGAGAAAGACAGAGCGAGAGTTTTGGGTTGATTTTTTCTGGATTATTGAAAATTTGCATATGTGCTTTTAAGATTTCTACCTAATGGCTATATTTATTCATGACATATTTTTTAGAAGTTGATATTAACTTTTCACAAACATTGTATAATACAACACAGCACACAGTACTGAAGTCAAAATATTAGAATAGATGGTTTCCACAGGAAGACACTGATACATCTCAACCCATAAATAAGAAAATTCAAAAGTAACTGTTAGATTTAGTTTTGTCCTGGGACCTCAAAAACATTTTGCAAACACTGTTCAACAAAGCTGATGAGCACCTTCTGAAGTGCAGACATCTATGGATAAGGGTGGAATATAGATATGAGAGACTTCCAGAGCCTACATGACCACCAAGGATTTCTTGTGATGAACCACCACACCGAAAGGTAGAACTGTAGTCACAAAATTCAAAGTGTTCTATTTATTTGGTGTAGCACACAGATTCTAATACAAACTCAATATCCTGCAGACGCTACCAGCATCTAATCCTCACACATCTCTTCTCTGTCTGCCACCTAAATGCTTCTTCAAAGTTGGCCTCTTCACTGCTACAGCAGCTGTGTCTTACTGTTCTGATGTTTCTGCAATGCCACCACAGTAATACCTCCTCCAATAGCATTGCTAATGCTAATGCACAGGAATGCCATTGGATTGGTTAAATCTTAATTCACATGATTTTTTAAAAAAAGATTGCATTGCATTGAAGACTGCAATCCAGGTATTATAAAACAACAAGGAAGTGTTTAATTTGACATTAACTTACATAGTATTTTATATATCACCTTAAAAATAATAATTTAGGAGGGAAAGTAAAAAAAATACTTTATCTTGACCCATATGCCCAATTTCTGGGGAAGATATGAGCTATAGTTAAAAAAAATGTAAACTATGTTTTCATAGGAGAATTGTAAGAACCACCACTTATCTTATGTAAAGCTGCTAATAAAAATAGGAGTCTATATACAGTGGAAAATGGTTGTTTGCTAAGCACTGCCAATGTGCATGGCACTCTACAAGATATAAAAATAAATCTCTGCACCAAAGAACTTACAATTTAGAAAGCAGACACTAAGAAGAGATGATGCATTGGGAAATGATGGCCTACATGCGAGCTTCCTGTTTTTCCAGATCAACACCTTTGTTATGTGTTGCAGTGGTTGGGCAGAGCGAGACAGTAAAATCCTGGCTCTAGTGCCAGCTAAAGTTATTCAATCTGAATATACAAAATATTTCAAAAATCTATGTTCTTTTCAATTTGCAGGATTCTCAAACATAGTAGGCATATTCAAGACAAATGTTAATGAAACAAAATTACTTTGGCTTAGGGTGAACAGACAGCAAATGTGAAAAATCGGGACAAGGGTGGGAGGTAATAGGAGCCTATATAAGAAAAAGACCCAAAAATCGGGACTGTCCCTATGAAATCGGGACATCTGGTCACCCTACTTTGGCCACACATATGACTTGGTCCTAAGGGCTAAAAGAATTTCCTTCAATCAGCTGTGTTCATGTAAGAGAACAAGCTTCAGGCTTACAATGGAGATTTTGAGTGAGTGAGTGAGTGAGTGTGTATGTGTGTGTGTTTATATATATATATATCAAATCTGTGAAAGTAATGGCACTTTTACTTATATCAATCATTTACGGCAAATCTAAAAACAATGGGTTACAAGTTATTTCTGTGATTTACAGATGCTTCTAGCGCTCTGAACAGAGAGCTTATAAAAAGTTGCACAGAAGAGATAAAGACCAATGATTTTATTTCACTGAAATATGGGGTAGCATATTAGAGAACATAGTTTTGCATTGTTAGTGGGACAGTTATATTTACAATCACCTATAACAATGTCTAAGTAATGTACCACTTGCTTTTAGTAAAACTTAAAAAAAAAATGGAATTTGATTTCATATAAGAAAGAATTCTGAGCCAATATATTCTCTAATGCCAGCAAGCTATAAATAAATAAATAGTAAAGATATTTGTATATACAACTTATTTGGATATATACCTCAAAGTATTGTAGGCTCTAGAATCTAGATCATCTACTAAAAGTCAGTGGGAAGGCAGGCTCTTAATTCAGTGCCATTTGTTACCATGCCAGTCCTCATGTCAAGATTTAAACCACATTCATACCTACTCAAGTATAGTTTATAGAATTAATTCACAATATGCTCTTCCATTAGATTTACACACAAACTTCACCCATGCTTAGATTTGAAGCAACAAAAGTAAACATTTCCAGGATACAATTTGCTATTCTTCACTCATTTTGTTAAATTGTTTTCTTCTAAATCACACTCATGAATTAAAAAGGTAAGAACAGGAATAATTGGAAAACTAAATCACTAACAAATCTGGATTCTCAACATATCAATTCTGCAATATTTTTTTTAATTCTTCACAGTGTGATGCCTAACATTTAAGTGGCTGAAACCCACATTTAAAGGTTCTTACTTTATTGTAATAAAGTGCAAAAAGAGGTAATTCAACCAGTCCCGTTAACTGTAGGTGGAGAGTATGATGTTTCCCTGATGACTTACAAGGGGAAACTGTCAATTTCAAGTTCCAGTTAAAAATAAATACATAATTTCTAGCCTTCACTGATGCAAAAAATAATCTTGACTGTGAAGCCTCAGTGGTTCTCAACCAGGGGTACATGTACCCCTGGGATACGCAGTAGTCTTCCCAGGGGTACATCAAATCATCTAGGTATTTGCCTATTTTTATAACGGACTACATAAAAAGTGCTAGTGCAATCAATACAAACTAAAATTTCATAGAGAGAATTACTTGTTTATCCTACTCTATATACTATACCAGGGGTTGGCAACCTTTCAGAAGTGGTGTGCCGAGTCTTCATTTATTCACTCTAATTTAAGGTTTCGTGTGCCAGTAATACATTTTAACGTTTTTAGAAGGTCTCGTTCTATAAGTCAATAATATATAACTAAACTATTGCTGTACATAAAGTAAATAAGGTTTTTAAAATGTTTAAGAAGCTTCATTTAAAATTAAATTAAAACACAGAGCCCCCCGGACCAGTGGCCAGGACCCGGGCAGTGCGAGTGCCACTGAAAATCAGCTCATGTGCCGCCTTTGGCACGCATGCCATAGGTTGCCTACCCCTGTACTATACACTGAAATACAAGTACAATATTTATATTCCAATTGATTTGTTTTATAAATATGTGGTAAAAATGAGAAAGTAAGCTATGTTTCTGTAATAAAAAAATGCTGTGACACTTTTGTATTTTTATGTCTGATTTTGTAAGCAAGTAGTTTTTAAGTTAGGTGAAACTTGGGGGTATGCAAGACAAATCAGACTCCTGAAAGGGGTGCAGTAATCTGGAAAGGTTGAGAGCCACTGATCTAAGTAACCCTCTGCAGACAGATTCAGTGCCTCTGCTGTTGCTCAAAGCTTTCACAAATCCAGTGAACTTGACAAGACTGGTCAGTTTCACTGCTGTTATTCAAAACCCCAGACATCTATGAAACTGACAACCACCATAACAATTTCATGCTACTGCTTCAGGGGTCAGCAGCAGGGGCAAGCACAGGAAATGACAACACAGAGGTCCACCAAATAAATGGTGGAAGAGGACTTCAAATGTATGAGACATCTGAGTCATACAGTTATGAGGCCAGTATAAAATATGCACAACTAGATCCAAGGACAACACACTGGTAGGGATGCCTGCACTCTTCCCTTTCCCAGGGTTAATGTTCACAATGGTGTGTTGCTTCTCAATCTCATGGCTAGGTGACCACACATTGTTTGATTTGGCCTTGGGCTAACAAGCTTAATCCTCTGGCTAGCAAATTTTCAATATCTTCTTCAAACCAGGACTTTATTGCATTGCATAAGCAGGGCGTTACTCAAAGTGCAACTTGCCCATGACACCGGGGCTAACTACGTTCTCTCTCGCCAAGTTCCAAAAGGCTAAATTAACCTTTCCTTCCTGTCCTAAACTTCCGATACACTGTTAAAAACAGCTGCCAGGCCTCACTCCAGAGATGGCTGCATTTCACTTGTGAGTGAAGGGACTTCTTCGCATAGGTCCTGCTGTTTGAGCTGTGTTTTGCTCTGTGTTTGTACGCTGGGGAACACAATGGGGCTCTGGCAATGTAAGTAACAATGAAATAGTCAGGGGCTGCTGAGGGACTACAACAATGTAAGAGTGTGACAGCCACCTCATGGCCCCGGAGACTCCACAGCAGCCGAGAGGACATAGAATATCAGGGTTGGACGGGACCTCAGGAGGTCATCTAGTCCAACCCCCTGCTCAAAGCAGGACCAACCCCAACTAAATCATCCCAGCCAGGGCTTTGTCAAGCCTGGCTTTAAAAACCTCTAAGGAAGGAGATTCCCGCTGCTCTCCTGGCACTCAGTGCCCGGCCTGTATACACAGCTTGGGGAGACTCTGGCCGGGCAAACTGGGCGAGGGGAGAAAGAGGGACTCGCGGGGGCGGGAGGCAGAGCCAGGGAGGAGGGCAGGGGATAAGAGCAGGGAACGGAGCGGTGCCCCCAAGGGAGAGGGGCTGGAGGACTTCCCCCTGGCCATGGGGATGGCGGCGAGGCGAGGCGGGCTGAGGACCAGGGGGCTTCTCCCACGCGGGGCTGCAGCAGGAGGCAGCGGCGGGGCGGCCGGGCTCTCACCTGCACCAGCAGCGCCTCCCGCTCCCGCCGCCTCCGCTCCTTCCGCGCCTCCAGGCTCCGCTCACTTTCAAACCCCCCGGACGCCATGGCCAGGAGCTGCCGTAAAGTGACGCCGGGGCCGGCTCGCAGTGTGCGGCGCTCGCGGAAAATGCCGTAAAGTGAGTAGCCGACGGCCCCGTGGTCCGTTCGCCGGGACTCACCCGGGAACCGCCAGCGATAGCCCCGGAGCCTGCTGCCGGGAGCCGCTCCGCACTGCGCCCTCTGCGGGCCGGGCCGGGCCGGGCGGCTCCATCCCGGGGCAGGGCTTGCCGGGGGGCCGGGGACCACACGGGGCTGCGCCCTGCCTCTCGCCTCTTGCCGTGGGAAACGTTTTGTTTCCGCTCACCGGAGGCCCCGTGTTTCCCTTGCTGGTCTGTGGGTTGGATGTTGAACTAGTCCAGCCCTTCCCTCGGGGTCACTCCCGCTCTTCCCAGGCCCCATGCTCCCCACCCACCAGTTCGGTTCAAAGCACTTCGCACAGCTCCCTCGAAAATACGTTGTGATGCCAGTGCTGCCACAGTGCACACGCGTGAGATGACCTCAGCATCTGCCTCTCCCTTAGGACGGAGCTCTCCGGAGCGTTGGAGTTTTAATCGCCTTCCGTCATTTGCTATAATTTCCGAGTTTTGCTTTGGTGGTGGCTTAATAGACACCACAGTTTGTGTTTCCTGAAACCCAAACCTTGCTACCAGCTCCAAGAACAGGTCAGTTAAACGTCTAGAATGACAACTTCCCCCAGAGCAGATCACACCCAACCCCATGCCAGCTACCAGACTCCCACAAGGATCTTTCCACAAACTATTAGGAAAATGTCAGAGTAATGTCACCTTTTTTGCACTTTATTACTATAAAATAAGAGCTTTTGAATGTGGGTGCCAGCCACTTAAATGTTAGGCATCACGCTGTGAAGAATGTAAAAAAATGTACTGAAGAATTGATATGCTGAGAATCCAGATTTGTTAGTGATTTAGTTTTCCAGATATCTCTGTTCTTACTTTTATAATTCATGAATGTGATTTAGAAGAAAACAATTTAACAAAATGAGTCAAGAATAGCAAATTGTTTCCTGGAAATGTTTACATTTGTTGCTTCAAATCTAAGAATGGGTTAAGTTTGTCTGTAAATCTAATGAAAGACTACATAGCAACATGACTTCATTGGTAAATGTTTTTCCTTTACATTCAGCTTCACCCCATCACTCCCACATGGCAGCATGATCCAGTGGATAGAATGCTGGCCTGGGAGTCAAGATGAGACCTGGATTCTTTTCTCAGCTCTGCCACTAAGGCCTGGTCTTTACTGGGGGGGATCAATCTAAGTTACGCAACTTCAGCTACGTGAATAACGTAACTGAAGTTGACGTACTTAGATCTACTTACTGTGGTGTCTTCACTGTGGTAAGTCGACGGCTGACGCTCTCCCATCGACTCCGCCTGCGCCTCTCACCCTGGTGGAGTACCGGAGTCAATTGGAGAGCACTCGGCGGTCGATTTAAAATTGACCCCCTCTGGATCAATCACTGCCCGTCGATCCAGCGGGTAATGTAGACAAGCCCTAATAAGTAGGGTCACAGGCAAGTTACTTAACTTCTGTTTCTCAGTTTATTTAGCATAAGAGATTAATGAAACTCACTTTGCTTTGTAAAGCACTTTGAAGTCTAAAGAACTATACATGATTATAAGTATCCCCACACTATAGTTTATGAGGTATAGATGAACAAACTAGTTTATTTATGGCAGTCTTCTTTCAAGGCGGGCAACTAAAATGGATATTTTGAGAAACTCATAAAAAAAATTATGTGGTTTATCACTATCTGCCCAGAAAGGCTACTTCACTGGACAATGCCACATTGAGGTCAGTGCAGCTCCACACAGGCACAGAGTTCAACTGGTATGGATCCCCTTTCAGGTTTGGGGCCTGAGTTCATGATTCTAATCAATTTATTTTCCCTTGACGTCCAGTTGATGTGTTGCAATGTTTCTGTGCTGGAACACTACTTCTGCTGCTGGCCAGTTGCCTACTGCCTAGGATGGGTCTGCGCAGGATGAAAGAAACTGATTAGGAAGTTTGCTGAGGCTCTTATACCTGGCAGTTAGCCAACAGCATGTGCCAGGTCCAGTACACCACTTATGTAACAAGTATTGTGCCAGGACCATAAGTCCCACATCACCTCCATATTGGTGCACATAACAAAATTCATTCCGCACATGGTTTGGGAAAAACTAGAGGGAACACTGCCTGCCAGGCCTGCTTTTTCATAAAGAAGCAGAAAAGGGCACAAGCCAAATTATTCTAAAATCCTTTGCAAGTCACCTTTAATGGCTAGCAGTCCATCCCCTGTTCTATACTCTCACTCTGACTTCAGAAATCAACAGTGCTAATAATAGAATATGGTCTACCCAAACTTGTACTCCAACAGTGAGACACTAACCTTTGCAGAGTGAGTTACCATTTCCCATTTAACACTGTCCCTAAGAAAAGCTGCATGGTCAGTGGTGAGTGATTTTTATAAATGTCTGTACTGCTTGTGTTCCTCACTTTCTTTTAGTGCTCTGTGTGAAATTTTCCATAGAAAAGAAAATTGTCAAAAAGTCAGGGGAAAAAATTCTTTCCACTGAGTGTGATTCTGTACAATTCACCTTAAGCAGAAAGCAAAATTTCACAAGAAAAACGTGCACTTTGCTCTGAGAATATGAAATGTGTTGGTCACAGTTACAGGGAAGCTGGACATATCCTGATTGTTGCTTTGTGAGTTCTCCATCTGAATCTTAACAGTGTCTTCTGAAGCACTCACACAGAAGAAAGGTCACAGCCAATGAGGTGTGAGTGTGTGGGGTGAGGTGTGCAGAGGCCAAAATGGACTGAATCTAATTCAGTTCCTAGTCTTCAGTTCATTTCTAAAACAATCCATTTCTCAGTTTGCTACTTGTGTTGCTGGGAGAAAATGATAGTTCAGATTGGTATGGGAATGTCCTGTGGTTCAGTGAAAGAAATAAAAAGTCAGTCCCATGAGAAATTATAGAAAAAAGCAAAGGATGATATAATTAGAGGGTATTTTTCTTTTATGGAAGTTTTACTAAGTCGATGCCACAAAAAAATACCTTGTACCATGACAATGGAGCAGCAGCACCCATGTTATTTATTAGATAGCCATGCCTCAGTTCATTATGGAGGCTTGAATCAAGAAACAAGACATTTTTACCTCTGTAAAATCAAAAAGACAGGCAATGGCCTCTAACTTCAGCAATAAAAGGGTTAATGTAGTATTAATAATATTGACAGCCTACATTGTAAATTCAGTTTACAATGAAAATGAATGAAGAGACTCCTGGAGATCAAAGGATGATTAATCCATTCCTCCATATTCAGTATCAGACCATGTGTTTTCTGCCTCTAGGCAATAGTTGTTTGGTTAATGTGCTCAGCTAGTTAGCAGACAAATGGTATCTTCAGTTACAGTTAGATGGAGCAGAGCCACAATTTAAAAAAACAGATCCATTTTTTCCCCAAAAGTTCTAGGTTATTTGAATTCAGGGTTTTCAGTTAGACAGTTCTCTAGTTACAGTTTTGGACTAATATGTTACAAATAAAGGTTTTGTAAGGAGCCCATATAAGTGTAGATGGTACTGAATCATGTAAGTGATAATTTGCTTAATTAATTTATTAAGGAGGTTTGAATGTTTTGTTTCTTTTTAAGACCTGAAAACCATGAACAACATTGGGTGGGGGAACATATCATAATAATTGTCTCTTTATTCCTG